TGCCTATCCGTCTCTTCCTTCTGACCTGTGACCTCTTCATTTTATCTCCCTCTCTGACCTCCTCCTTATGACCACCTCTTTTTGATAACCTCCTGCCTTCTTCCCTCTGACCCCCTCCCTCCTATCTTAGCAAAGGAAGAGACTGGTCTGGTCCAATGAAATCTTAATCCAGGCCTTCCTACCAGCCCCACCCCACACAGCCTGGCCAGGGCTAAGTGGAACCACATGGCTTGGGTAAGGGTGGGTGGCGGCTACCTCTGGGCCCAAAGCCCCTGCCTGATCTCCCCTCTCCAGTAGACTGCCCCACTGACCCCCTGACCCGAACCTCTTGGCAGGAGCCAGATTCTGCCGAATCTGCCCATGACCTCACCCTGGGGGTGGTTCTGCTGACTTCACCATTGGGACCCAGAGTAGGGGGCCAGACTTGGGGGAAATGGAGGTTTGGATGAGGGACCCCCAACCCAGCTCCTCCTGGGTCAGACTTCTCATTCTCTAGACTCTACAGAATCCTGTTCTAGACTCAGCTTCCTCTTGCTCCCAACTTCCTTCTGCCCTTTCTTTCTGCTCTCCCCTCGCCCCACTCCCCGCCCTCTCTCTGTCCCACTTTCTGTCTCAGTCTTTCCAGGTCTCTCTCTGTGTCCAGCTCTGAATCAGCCTGTCTCTCTCTCCGTCTCTCTCTCTCTCTCTCTCTCTCTCTCTCTCTCTCTCTCTCTCTCTCTCTCTCTCTCTCTCTCTCTCTCTCTCTCTCTCTCTCTCTCTCTCTCTCTCTCTCTCTCTCTCTCTCTCTCTCTCTCTCTCTCTCTCTCATTTGCTCTCCCATCCTTCTCTCTGCATGTCTCTATCTCACTGCCTCTCTCTCTGTATTTCTGTGTGTGGACTACTCTCCCCATCTCTCTCTCTATCTGCACACCCCTCCCCAAACCCTGTCGCCAACACCGGCTCCATCTCTAATTGCCTGTTCTGTGGCTGAACTGTCATTAAGAGGTATTTGGGTTACAAACCCTTGGGGTTAAGATCTGGGTTCCCAGGATCTGCTGACCACAAGGGTCACTCCCCCATGGAATGATCATCCCAGCTGATCCCTCTCCAGGCTAGGGCCCAGGGGAGGGCTGAGATCCATGACCCCATCCAGCGTGGCTCTCCCAAGCTCTCCCCTCACCCAGACCCCAGTCTCTATGCAATAGGAAAAGCCCTCTCCTCGACCAACTGCTCATTAACATTTAAAGAGTCCTTCCCAGCATCTAACCCAAATGTCTCTTGCTTCAATCTTGTGTGCCTTCTGTAATGACCTTTCAGAAACTGACTGCCTTTTCTTTTCATGGCTGGCTTCTTGACAAACAGACACACAAGAGGCATTGAGTCCTGCCTGCAGGGTCAGGGGATGGGGGTCTGTCTAAGACCTTCCCCCACAGACTCTCCCCATGGTGGTCAGGGCCCCAGAGAGACATTGGGTGGGGTCTATGATGTGGAGGCAGGCCGTCAGGGACCAGGCTGGGACATAGCTGAGATGCTCTCAGAGTGTAGGAGAGCATAGGTATGAGTGTCTATGCAAATGTGTATATGTGTTATTGTGCACATGCATGAGATTGTGCATGTGTGTGATTATATATGGACAAGGGAATGGTTGCGGTGTGTCAATGTGTGTGAGTATTTGGTCTGTGATGGAAAGATTAGGTTCAGCTCTTTGACTTGTGGCTGTGTGTCCATGTGAGTCCGGTCCTGGTGGTGAGGTCATGCAGGTGAGTCTGTGATTATAACAGTTCAGATTCGAGATGGGGAGAGTGATTATATGTCAGAGAGTGGGTGACTGGCTGTGAATGTTGACCGTGTTGCATGGATGCCAGTAGAAGCATGTGTGAGAGTTTGAAAGCGTAGGAGGGTGACAAAAGCCATGACCGTGTGGCGGGTGGCTGATGGGGGCTGCCTGGGCGTGGGCACCGGTGTTTAACATTCCTGGTGTCCCGGGGGCCTTGTATTCTGAATGATTGCCTGAGATTGCACGACTGTGTAAATGTGTGAACGTGGGAATAAGGCATAGGCTAATCTGGGATTATTCACGTGAGCAGGCACCTCCCTGGACTTCAGAGAAAGTGGTGTGTGTGTGTGTGTGTGTGTGTGTGTGTGTGTACGCGCGCGCGCGCGCGTGGGTGCGTGCCGGAGGTTGAGTTCACCTTAGCGAGGGATATCCAAGAGATCCTAGCCTGGTCTCTCAGACCATAACCCTCTTGATCCTCCCAAACCCTGAGCGCCCCGCACCCGGAATCCTGCGGGGGGGGGCACGGAGTCCAGCCAGATGCGCGCAGCTGGGCGTGCGTCAGCGCTGACTCACCCGTCCCGCGGCCCCCGGGACCCCTGGGGGGGGCTCCTGAGAAATTCCTCGGGAAAAACACCAGCGGCTGGCTCAGCTTGGGGAGCAACTTCTACTTCTGCCCCCGCCCGCGCTCCGCCCCGCCCCGCCCCGGGCCCCGCCCCGCCTCGCCCCTCACCGCGGCCCTCGGGAGGCCCTGTCCATGGTGCTGATCGCGGCTCTGGGGAGCGAGGGGTGGGGAGTGGGCGGGGGATAGGGCAGAGGAAGTGGGCACGCGCCAATTGGGGACAGAGGAAGAAGAGGGAGAGTAGGGCGAAGCCATCTGGGAGACGCAAAGGGAAGTCTGAATTCCCGATTAGCCACCTCCCGTACTCGTCCCCACTCACCATCACCCTTAGAATCATCCCCTCGCATCCTCACAGGCAATAATTTACCCCCCCCAAATCACCACCGGTCCCTCATTGGGTCACCGAGATACACACAAGTATAATGTATAACACATCATTATTCCCAAAATCCTCCCCCCTCCCCCAAGCACACACACAGACACAACTGAAAATCACACACTCACCCAGGGACCACCCGTCACCCGTGTATATACGATCATCATCGACTCTCACACTCAAGCACATACACGATTTCACTTCAAATGGTCAGACACATTGCTACACGTACACACCTATAAATTGCATTCACTCCCATGCGCCCACGAATAAAACACAGTCACACGTCTCTCTGCTCCGCCAGCTGTCACACCCACAAATCGCCCAGAGTCAGACACTCGCATACAGTAGCCACGCACAACGCTCACGCCCCCCACGCACGCCTCCTCCTTCCCGACTCCACCCCGTCTTTTGCGGCCTCGTTGGATCCTGCACTCCGGGTCCTATCTCCTCCCTCCCGGCTCACCAGCCTGTGTCCAGGGCAGAAACTGCAGCGAGGCTAGGAGCAGGCAGAGGCCCGCCCGCAACTGGCCTAGGCTCCTGCGGCTCCTCATCCTGGCGGGGTCCACACACAAGGTGGAGGACCCGCCGCAGCGGCTGCCGGGCGCGGCGACTCCACGGGCTCCGTGCACGCACTCGCGACGGCCGGCTGCGCTCAGGATCCACAGGAGACTGCACGAGACCCCGCCCTGGCCTCGCCCTGCGCTCCAGCGCCTGGCCAGGCTTGACTCGCTGGAAGGGGGGTGGCTGACAGCTGGTGGGGGGAGTTGGGAAAGTTTGTGCTGAGCGCTGATTGGCCAGCTAGGGGTGGAGCCCTAGGCTGGGCGCTGGGCCCTTCCTGCCCCACCTCACCCTAGAAGAGGAGGGTCACGCCCACCCAGCCTTAGAATTTGGAGTCCCAAGCTTATCCCGAAACTTTTCCTCAAACAGGCCCCCTCAAAGGAAGTCTTAGCCTCATTCAAACCTTCAGCCTCTCTCCGGGCCCTGTACCTAGGGGATACAGCTTTAATGCAAGTTCCTTCTGTGTCACCACGGGCCCCCAAATGGGATCCCAGCTTCACACCAAACTCTCTCCTGCCTGTTTCCTAATCCCATATAAGAGGTACCAGCCTCATCCCAGCACCTTTCCTTCAGGTCCCTAAATAAGGGGTCCTCTTACCACCTCAAACTTCATGCCAAATTCCAAAATAGGTTTCCCAGACCTGCCCCAAACCTACATTTCTCCACCCAAATTACAGAATTGAATGTCCTGGCCCCATCCCCAAACCCTCACCACAGATTCTCAAACACCGTTTTTTATTTCTTCCAAGCTCTTCATCTTTAAATAAAAGGTTCCACTTCCATCAGGCTCCAAATGGATGCCCCATCCCCAATCCCAAATCCTAACACATGACCCCATTAAATGAGACAGTCTGGCGCTACCCCGAAGCAAGGCACTGCTGCAGGGCACTGCCATTCCTGGGCTGAGGCAAAGCCTCCCCCACCCCACTGGGACCCCCTAGTGTGAAGAGGACCCCCACTAAGGAATCAGGTGGAGCTGTCTGTGCAACTGAACAAGCACAGACCTGCCTGATCTGAGGGCTTCCACAGGGAGGAACCCCAGGGGCGTATCCTGGGCCATGAACTGCCCCCCCACCCCGAAGAGGGAGAAGCCAGCGGTGCCTCCCTCTCAGCCTCTGGCTCCTCAGACAAAGAGTCTCTGTGTCCCTGGAGAGGAGGGGGTGGGGCCCCCTCTGGCCTGATGGGGAGAAGGAGGCCCCTTGGGTGGAGGAGCAGAGAGACTCTCCCCAAGCTGCTCCTCCTCCCTCCCCAGGGACATCTGAGGCTAAGGCTTCTCCAGCTAAAAGACTCCGTAAAGTTCCTGCTCTGCCTTGCTGGGAAGTTCCCGCTATATCTAACCCTATCATCTGACATTTCTGTGCACTTTTGAAAGGGCCCTTCTAGGAAGCTCTCTGTCACCTTCTCTCCCTCTCTCCTTCAAATTGGAGATTCTTTGCCCAGCAAGAGAATGCCCCTGCTCCCTGAAACTCCTCCCGGCCCTGAATAATTTATAATCATAATGAAAAGCCCCCAGTTATGGGTGTAGCTGTGAGGAGAAGAAATTTTTGACAGATAAAGGAAAAGCGGTGTACTGAAGCTAAGGAATTCCCCCCAGCTACCTGCCCGGGGTCAGTTCAGAATTGGGGGCTCATGGGACCCCTTCATCCTGCAGGGAATCAGTTGAATGGTGTTTAGGAAGCTGGGTGGCGGGAGGGAGTCAGGTGCTGGCCAGCAGAGGTCACACGTCCAGGGAGGAATCAACATGGCCGACTTTGCCCGGACTGTACTGATCTCAGGCTGCTCGTCAGGAATTGGCCTGGAGCTCGCAGTGCAGCTGGCTCATGACTCCAGGCAGCGCTACCAAGGTAAAGGGCCAAGGGCAGGGTTGAGGGAGCAGGGATGGGCACAGCTTCCAGGACCCCCAGCCTTACTGACACTATTTCCACTAGCCCTTCCCTTCCAACTGCATTTGTGGACTTGGGGGGAAACCAGGACACGTGGAAGCCCCCTTCCCACCTCTCCTCACGAATCATCCCCTCAGCCAACGAATATTTCTTGAGCACCTACTGGGTTCCAGGCACTGTTCTAGGTGCTGGAAATGCAGCTGTGAACAAAATAGACCAAAATCTCTGTCTTGATTAATGGTGTCGTGGGAGAGGGTAGAGAGGACAGACAATAAATAGATGAAATTTTTTTATAATATGTCTAGTGCTAATAAGTGCTAAGAGGCAACATAAAGTGAGGGGGGGCATGGTAAGTGTGGGGGTGGTGATAGTTTTAGAAGGGCTGGTCAGGGGGGTTTCACTTAGGCATTCCCTAGGACTCTCCTTCCCCACCCTTCCCCAGATTACTGCTCCAAGATAAGCCTCTTAAATGAATTTGACCTTGGGAGTTCAAGGGGGAGCCTCTAGGCCTAGGGATTTATCCTCCTGCAATTTGAGAGTCAATTGCCTCAATCTGCACCCCACCCACAGAGACCTCTGACCCAGAGCAGGCTAGAGTGGAAGTGGGCAAAGGGCTGCTACTTAAGAGGAGGCTGCAGGGAGTGAGGGCAATGTCCCAGCTGGCAGAGCTGCTTTTCCCAGTGTTCTGCCCTCTGTCTTAGAGACATGCATAGCTTTGAGTATGACAGTCTGAGTGCCAATGTGCAGGGAAGTTCTTTGTGTGTGTCCCTGTGGCAGGCAGATGAGTGTGTAAAACTGCTAAAGGATGACATTTATTGAGTGCTTACAATGTGCCAGACTAAGTGTTTTGCATCTAGTAAGATATTTAGTCCCCACATCACCCCTATGGTGTGGTCACTGTCATTTTCCCCATCTGAGAAATGAGAAAACTGAGGCAAGCCTGCCAAAAGTTCTTGCCCAAGGTTGCCCAGCCAGAAAGTGACAGAGCCTGGATTTGAACCCAGGCCACCCAGCCCCTGGGCCTGCACTTGTCACTATACTACTTGTAGATGTATGCAGCCCCATTCATCCATGCAGCACCCGCGAATCACACAGAAAACATGCAAATGCCCCCAGGAGAGTGCACTCAGAGAGGTTACAAACATGTATGCAGGTGTGTGAGATGTGAGCTCAGCACTCTGACAAACCCAGTTCAGATCTCGGTTCTAACTCTTGCTAGGGGTGGTACAGGCAGGGAATGTCAACTTGCTAACCCTTAGTTTGTTAATCTGTATAATGGGGATAGCTTTACCTGCCTGCTCTGATTACTATTGCTAAATAACAAATCACCCCCAAAATTTATTGTGTAAAACAACTATAATCATATCTCTCACAGTTTACAAAGGTCATGAATTTGAAAGGGCTCAGCTAGGTGGTTCTGAGCCAGGGTCAAAGGCTACAACAAGAACAGAAGAGACTGGAACATGTCAGGGCTTGGGCAGGCATCTCTCTCCTTTCTAGTAATTTCCACGTGGTCTGTCTATCTGGGCTAGCTTGGGCTTCATCCCAGCAAGGTGGTCTCAGGGCAGCTGGGTTGCTACAGGATAGCTGATAGCTTCAAGAGTGAGTGTGCCAGTCTACGGCCATGCCACCCTGAACAAACTCAATCTCGTCCAATCTCAGAAGCTAAGCAGGGTCAGGCCTGGTTAGTACTTGGATGGAAGACCGTCTAGGAAGACCAGGTGCTGTAGGTGGTAAAAATAAAAAAATAAAAAAGAGTGAGTGTGCCAGCAAACAAGGCAGAAGTCACACAACGTCATTTTCACCATAGTCTGTTGGTTCCCAGGTAGTAATAGTCAAGGAGAGGGGAATGAGGTTTTATGCCTTGTTAGGGGAGCAACAAGATTCTAGAAGAGCATATGTGATGAAAGATGTGGTTGTCTTTGGAAAATAAGTCAGTGACCTAATCATACGGTTCTTGTGAGGATTAGAGATAGAGCATATAATAGTGTTTAGCACTGTCTGGCACATAGTATATGTTCAATAAATTGGAACTTATATTGATGGTATAAATGTGTCTATTCATACTTGTATGTGCACACAGGCACATATGTTTACTCTAGATGTATATGCATTTCATTTCTCAAGTCAATCTGTTCTATATTTATTTTATTGTCTAACTACTGGACTGTGAATTCCATGAAGGCAGGGACTTTATCTTTTTTCATGCAATAACCTCAGCACCTAGAATAGGATATGGTATTTAGTAGATGCTCAAAAAATAAATGTGTTGGATGGATGGATAGGTGGATAAACGTGTAAGGATGTGTACACAAAAGTGTGCATTTGTGGATGTGTGGTGAATATAGTTGTGTAAACCTATCCTTCTGTGACTGCTCATGTAAGATCACAGAAACGTGCAAGTCCCATACATAAGGAAAAGGAGCCAATGCCTGCCCCAACTCTGCTCTCTGTCCCCAGTGGTGGCCACCATGAGAGATCTGGGGAAGAAGGGGATGCTGGAGGCAGCTGCTGGGGAAGCTCTGGGTCAGACCCTCACCGTGGCCCAGCTGGATGTGTGCAGCGACGAGTCAGTGGCCCAATGTCTCAGCTGTATCCGGGGAGGGGAAGTGGACGTGTTGGGTGAGACTGAGCAACCCCTGAGGTCACTTGCCCCCTCCCTGGCCTAAACACAGATCCTCATCACAAAGTCCTCCAGTGTCTGGACACCAGCTCTCTTGCTTCACCAGCATCCTCTGACCTTGGACAGAAGGGGTAGACCAGTTGGCCAAAAGCCTGAGGTGCCAATCAGTTTATTTTTTGTTTATTAGGGATATGAGAAATAAACTGAGACCTGGGGTCAGGTGGGTTTTATTGAAGAGAACTCACATATGGAGAAAACCATATGTGGTTGGGGAAATGACTTTAATGAGTCATTTGGGGAAGGGAGCAATTCATAACGAAGAAGCAACTCATGGTCTCTTAATGGCCCTCTGAGGAGGGTGAGTGTAGCTGTTTTGATGCAGTTTGGGGTCAGAGCTGATTGCTCATGCATTAAAGGGGAGACTGTTCCCAGCAGCCCTTCACCCCAGGCAGGGATCAGGGTGCCCTAAAATAAATGTTGAATTATATGTAAAGGTCATCGAGGCTCCACATTTGTCCACCCAACATACCCTCAACTGGCCCTGGATCTGGAGTGGGGTAATTCAGGGAGTGTCCCTGGAAAAGTGACACTAGAAAGGTTGGAGGAACCTCAGAGTAACCCTCAGTACCTCCCCCTTAGTGAATAATGCTGGAGTGGGCCTGGTGGGGCCCCTGGAGGGGCTCGACCTAGCTACCATGCAGAACGTCTTTGATACCAACTTTTTCGGAGCCATTCGTCTGGTCAAAGCTGTGCTTCCTGGCATGAAGAGAAGGCGACAGGGCCACATTGTGGTGGTCAGCAGTGTCATGGGGCTGCAGGGTAAGCCTTGAGGATCCATCCTGGGAATCCCTGAGCCTCTTGGGCATGTGATCGCCATGGTCCCTTCTAGTATCAACCCCAACACCTACCAAAATCTCTCCCGACCATCCCCCCAACCTAAGGAACCATCAGAACCCCTCCTCCTGAGACCCCTCCTTGACGAGCACCCGCCCCCACCAGGCCCCAGAGATGTCTAGGTTTGGGATTCTGAGGTTCCACAGAAAAGAGAGCAGTAATTGACTAGTGATGTCTGCCATGAGCCTACTCTGAAAACCACCTACTTGCCATCTATGCTTCTGGGTCTCTCCTCCTTGAACCCCTCTAAACCCCTTTTCTCTCCCTGGACATTTCCTCAGATCTCCCCCACTCCCTGGAGAAGCCCTCTGAGGAATCCACCCTAGTTATTATCTTGTCATGGAGAAGCTGCACCTACTCAACCCATACCTTTGGCCCCTTATCCATCTGCTCCCCCTGACCTCAGGGGCCACACTCACTGCTCAATAGGGCTGGCAATGACTCAGATGAACGAGACTTGCCCTCAGGGACCATGGTGATCATATGCCCAAGAGGCTCAGGGGTTTAGAAGATGGAAGGAAATAAGGAAGTTTCCTGGGCTGAGGGCAGATGGACTACTGCTGGGAAAAGGAGGCACCTGGCTCCCCAGACAAACCTCATCCTGACCCCATATGCTCCCATCACACAATACCATACTCCCACCACCCTGGCTCCTGATAACCCCTCCTTCTCATTCTTAAACCCTCTTTCTCAGTCTCCCAAAGACCCCATTCCTCTGGGCCCACAAAGCCCATCACCCACACCCCCAAACAGTCCGCCTTCCTCTAATTTTCTCAGGTGTCGTGTTCAATGACATCTATGCAGCCTCTAAATTTGCCCTGGAAGGATTCTTCGAGAGTCTGGCCATCCAGCTGCTCCAGTTCAATATCTTGTGAGGAGGGCACCTGGGCCGCGAAGGGAAAATGGAGACTGAGGGGGAAAGGGAGGCAGTGATGGGCAGACAAGAAAATGGGAGTAATGGAGGAGATGGGGGAACAGGGAGAGATGAAATAAAATGGCAGAAACTGGGGGATGAAAAGGAAAGAGAGACAGTAGTGGGCAAAATTTGGCCGTGAATGTGTTGGGGCACCAGACCGCACCTACCCCTGTTCCTGTTTCCAGCATCTCCCTGGTGGAACCAGGCCCGGTGGCCACCGAATTTGAAGGAAAACTCCTGGAGCGGGTTTCCACGGCCGAGTTTCCAGGCACTGACCCTGACACCCTGCGCTACTTCCAGGATCTCTACCTCCCAGCTTCCAGGGAGCTCTTTCACTCCGTGGGGCAGAGCCCACAAGATGTAGCCCAGGTGAGTGGGGCGCCAAGAGTCCCAAGACATGGCTCAGGTATGTACGGAGCTCCTCCCTACAGAACTGCTATCCCCGAGTCCCAGAGCTCAGAGGTCCACCCCACAGGTTATTGTCAAGGTCATCAGCTCGGCCAGACCACCACTGCGCCTGCAGACAAACACCCGCTACTCTCCGCTGACTGCGCTCAAAGCCGCTGACCCCTCCGGCAGCCTGTACGTGCGAATCTCTCACCGGCTGCTCTTCCGCTGGCCACGCCTCCTCAACCTTGGCCTCCGATGCCTGGCCTGCTGCAGCCTCCACACTCGGGTGTGGCCCCGGTGAGGCTCGCCCAACTCTCCAACCCCGAACAGCCAGACCTTTTCAGTCCACATCCACCTTAGAGGCCATACAGACTCTTCGTTCATTCATTCATACATTCATTCAGCAAACTGCCTGACCCGCTCTGTGACTGGGCATTGCTCAGCCAGCCTCCAGCACAAACCCTTCTGTGGTTAGGGCTGAGGCTGAGGGAAGGAACCTAGGACCCTGGGCTGAGGAGTCCAGAGCAGATTGCTGGTACTGGGAAGGCAAGGGAGGCTTCCTGGAGGAAGGGGCATTGTCCACGGACATTGAAAGGTGAGACAGACTGTCTCGTTCAACCTCAGGACTTCATTATCTTGGGCCTGGGAATACAGGAATGATCCAAACATCCCCATCCCCCACTCTCTCACCCAAGCATAGAGCTGGGTCGACTAAGGGGTCTCCGGACTTTTCTGGTCACACGCTCCATCAGTAAAATGTGTTTGTGCACACACCAGCAATGCACATATATTTTTTCATAAAATGTAGATCTGTAACCACTAACATTCGCTATATTAACTATAATAAAGCTCACTTTCTTATGTCTAAATTGAAAAGGAATAGGGTCCACCTCACACCCGTTAGAATGGCTACTATCAACAACAAATAACAAGTGTTGGCAAGGATGTAAAGAAATTGGACCCCTTGTGCGTTGTTACTGGGAATATAAAATCAGGTTGCCTCTGTGGAAACCAGTATGTCGGTTCCTTGAAAAACGAAACAGAATTATGACAAAAGAATTGAAAACAGGGTCACAAAGAGATATTTACACACCCATGTTCATAGCAGCGTGGTTCAAAATAGCCAAAAGGTGGAAGCAACTCAAGTGTCCATCAATGGGTGACTGGACAAACAAAACGCGGCCCATCCACACAATGGAATGTTATTGTACTGTAACATTGTACTGTAACTTCCAGACTGAAAAAGAAAGGAAGTTCTGTGACATGCTACATCATGGTGAATCCTGAGGACATTATGCTAAGTGAAATAAACCAGTCACCAACAAATAGTATTGATTCTATTTATGATTCTATTTATATGAGGTCCCTAGAGTAGGCGAATTTGTAAAGACACAGAGTAGAATGGTGGATGCCAGGGGCTGAGGGAAGGGAGGAATGGGAAGTTAGTGCTTAACAAAGATAGAATTTCAATTTTGCCCAAGGAAGAGTTCTGGAGATGAATGGTGGTGACAGTTACATGACAATGTGAATGTACTTAACACTAATGAACGGTACACTTTTAAATGCTTAAGATGTAAATTTTGTGTTATGTACACTTTTATCCCAATTAAAATTATTTAAAAATAGGGGGTCCCACCTGAGCCTCCAAGATAGTGTCTCCAAGTTTCTTGGCCCTACTCTGGAAAATTCAGAAGCAAATGGACTCGGGTATAGATGCTGGCTCTGTCTATTGCTCACTGGGTGGCTATGGGCAGGTGACTCCCTTGGTCTCATCTTCTATAAAGTAGGGCCAGCAATGATAATGCCGAAACAACAGGAAAAGTTCCCTGCACTGTTCCGCTTCACTTGGAGTTTTTGTTGTGGTTCAGGTTCAACTACCACCGTAGAGTGCCAGGCTCCAGGTGAAATTATTTTATAAGTGTTTGCTCTGCAGCCTCATGAGATGGAGACACTAAGAGCCTCCCCGGTTCATAAATGAAGAAACCAAGGTTGTCAAGGCACAGGGGAGGGATAGAACTCGAGTCCAGGGCTGTCCGACTCAGTCTATGCTGGTCTTCGGGGATCTCTGGTGATCTAGGAAAAGGGAAACTGAGTCCAGGGCCCTAGGAAGAGGTCTCTGTGAGAGATAATGGGGGCTACTTATCGTGTTTTGTCAAATCGACTGCTCTCTTCCCCTCTCCCACATTGGAGTTGGAAGCAATATTGGAATGCCTGCAAAAGAACATATGAAATTAGATAGCGGTGAGGGCTGCACAAACTTGTGAATATACCAAAACCCACTGAGTCATGCACTTTAGAATGGCAAAATTTATGATATGTGAATTATATCGCCATTGAAAATTAAATTAATTTTTGAAAAGAATATGTGAAGCATACACATGCAGGAGGTCACCCAAAGATTACGTAAACCAAATTCCTCCGCCTTTGGCTTCTGCTTGTGTTGGGTTCTGCCAATGGGAGGCAGCAGTGGAGACCAAAGGGTGGGAGGAGAAAGGCCAGAGTATTTATCCTCCAAGCACCCTCTATTCAGGGTCTCTTTGGATTCGCAGAATCTCTCCCGACGAGGCCCAGCCCCAGTTTCTGAGAACCACTCCCTCCCTTTGCCCCTTTCAGCTAAAGATGGTGACAGGATCTCACGGTGCCAGCAGGATGGCACTGCACTATCCTCCACAGGACCTCCTGCCTCAGCCCTTCCCTTCACACTCATCCCTGTCTTCGTCACTCCGCAGTTATCCACTTTGAGTGAGCTACCTCCTTCCATCCAGGACACTGACTGATGTGCTGCATGTTACGTTACATGGCAGAGGAACAGGGCATGCGCACTCGCCACCCCTGACTCCACCAGAACATTATCAATATCTGCCGCCTGCCTTACCCGAAAGGTCTCCAACTGTCCTAGATTTTATGTCCAAAATTCCCTTGCTTTTGCAAAAACTCTTAACTAAATTATTTTAAAAGACAAATTTATCTCCTTCCCGAGAAGGAAAAGCCATTGTAGTCGCCGTAAGTGAAACAGCACTTGATGTTTATTTGCGGGCGCGGCGTACAGCATTCCATACCCCAAACTCAGTAAAACACCAGACCCTCTCGCCTAGCTTCCCTTGCAGCTAGAGTGAGAGCATGTGACCCCGATTCCATCCAGCAGATGCACAGGATTTGGAATTGAGAGCCAGCCATGCAGAGAAGAAAGGCTCAGCAGGGAGAGGTGGCAGGAGGGACAGGAGCGCTGCATGACCAGGGTTGGCAGCAAGAACTGGAGCTGCTGGCTGTTTTTCAGGGGGTATGATTTAAGCTGTAACCTTAGCTGCTGCCCTGCACCCCCGCTTTGTTCCTTTTCATCTTCCAAGGCTGGTGGTTGCATGAACCCCCAGTGTCCATCTACTACATTCGTTTGCTTAAATCCCCCTGAGTCAGTTTCTGATGAATTTAAGGAAGAATCATCACCAATCCGGATAGCAGCTATAAGACTAAATGCATTGGGGGGGAGCGGGGGAGCTGTTATGAAATCTAGCTGAATGCTATTGCTATTTTATTTTTTACCACGAAGACCAACAGAGATTGGCAGAAAGCAAAACCCCAACGGATTGAGAAAATGCTCCAGAGAATAGCAGTTTTGCAGCTTATTTTATATATTAGAATCAAAGCAAGAGACTTAAGGAAAGTTACATAAAATCCATTGGTGGTAGATGAAGGAGGCTGGAAAAAGCAAAGCTTTCTTTTACATTGGTGGGTACAGGATAGTTAATAATATTTACAGCACATAGAGATGGTCTTCAGGGAACAAGAGAACAATGAGGGGTTCCGTGGTCTCGTGCTCTGATGCAGTGGGCTGTGCCCTGATGGCTCTGGAAAAAGGGGACGACTCTGACATTTGAAGAGTATGTTATCTTAGATGCAAAAAGGCAATAGACAGTCTCACTTAAGGAAAAGACTGACCTTTTGTCAAGGAAGCTACAGGCCCAGGGTGTGACTACCTGCCATGACCTGCTTTTAGTTAGGAATTTTTATGTTCAGACCATTCTCTGTGTTACTTTAGGTCTCTGAGTTTGTAGGGCATGTCATGCTGGCCTCCGCTGAGCTTGTCAGGTTTGGTACTTGTTCCCTTTTTCATCCACAAAGACGTGCTAACCTTTGGCTCTTGAGTTCTGCACTCACACCTGGCCCCTGTCTTCCCTCTCTTAGCAAACAAAGATAAGTCCATTCTTCTAGTTGCTCAGGCCAAAAATGTTGGGAGTCATCTCTAGTTCCTCTCTGTCACATCTCACAGCCAATCTATCAGAAGATTTTGTTCACTCAACCTGCAAAATATATTCAGAACCAACCACTCCACAGCACCTTCTTGGCCTCCCACCCTAGGCCAGCCACCAGCATTTCTCACCTGGACTATTGTACCAGCCTCCTCCCCTCCCACCTTCTGCATCTGGCCCCAAAATAACAGCCCAGAGGCTTCTTAAAAGATGTCTTTTCATTAAGTAAAATATTCATTATGACTTTTTTTATAATTAAAGGATATTTTAAAAAACAATTCTGCTTAATTCTTGATTCCCCACCCCTGCCTGTTATAACTTGCTTAAGTAATATATCCAGATTTTTTTTCCAATTATACAAGAAAAAAAAACTGATGGATAGATAAACAAACTGTGGCATATACATACATGCAAATAAGTATTGTTCAGACTTAAAAGGAAAGAAATTCTGACACCTGCTACAACACAGATGAAACTTGCTTGAGGACATTTTGCTCAGTGAAACAAGCCAAATACGAAAGGACAAATACTGTGTCATCCCAGTTATATGAGGTCCCTAGAGGAGTCACATCCAAAGAAACAGGAAGTAGATGGTGGGTGCTCAGGGCTGGGGAGTTAGTGTTCAATGGGGACAGAGTGTCAATTGGAGAAGATGAAAACATTTTGGAGACGGGTGGTGGTGATGGCTGCGCAACAATGTGAATGCATTTAATATCACTGAACTGTACACTCAAGAATAGTTAAAATGGGAAATTTTATGTTGTGTCTATTTTACCACAATTTAAAAAAATAAATATGGAGTATTTCAATGGGAAAAAAAAACGAATTTATACTTTTTAATTTACTTTTTCACAAAAAAACAACATACTATACACATAAGTGGAGCTTTAGTTCTTTCTTTAAATACTATGTCTTGGAAGTTTTACCATATCAGCCGCAGCAGGCATCCTCATTCTTCTGCAAAGCTGCAACATATTCCATTGTGTAGATGGACAATAATTTATGCAACCAGTCCTGTAATCATGAATTTGGGGGCTCTCTCCAATTTGTTGCTATTATATAAATGGCTGCAGTGAATAACCTTGTATGCATACATCATTTCACACAAGTGTAAGTGTTTCTGTCATGGGATTATTTGGCCAAAGAAACTATGCATTTGTAATTTTTATGAGCATTATCAAATACATCTATCTTTACTGGAGGAAGACCAATGACCGCATGCTAGCATGCACACTTTCCTGAAGCCTCACCATGCTGTGCATTATCAGTGTTCAAAATTTTTGCCAATTTAATGGGTAAAAATTGGGAGCTCACTTTGTCTTATTTCTTTTATTACAAGTGAGGCTGGGCATCTTTTCATATGTTAAAGAACTTTTTGTGTTTCATTTTTTGTGGGCATTCTAACCATACCTTTTGCTCAATTTTTTCTACTTGGTTGTTTATATTTTTATTATTATTTATTCCTAGAAACTCTTTACATATTATGGTGATTAGGGAGTATATAATATGAAATGTGAACACTTTTTACCAGTTCTTTTTTTTTTCTAATGGTGTTATTTGGTCTTATTTTTATGTTGTAAAATTATTCATTTGGGAGGGCGCTTTTCGATTTCAAGTCATGGTGACAAAGGACATACCCAAAACAATTCTATTAAAACAGCAAGATAACATCACTCCTCTTTTCAAAATTCTCCAGTGGTTTTCCCTCTTACTTGGATTCAAATGCACAACTATGAGGCCTCCTACGTGATCTCGTCCCTGAATATCTATCTCAAACTATCTCCCACTCTCTCCCCTTCATCCACTTCATTCTAGGAACGCTGACCTCCATGCTGTTTTTTAAACATGCCATGCGCACTCCCACCTCAGGGCCTTTGCACTTGCTGTTCCTTCTGTCTAGAATGCTTATCCCAGGTATCCACATGGCTCCCTCCTTCATCTCCTTTAGGTGTTCAATGTTGCCTTCTCAGAGAAGCCCTCCCTGATCACCACAAGATAGCACCCTGTCACTCTATCCCTTTAACCTGCTCATCGCCGACATGTACTACAGTTATAAACTGCAGTTTGTTCCTTGCCTGTCTCAACCCACTAGAATGTCAACTTGACGGGGAGGAGATTGTCTGCTCAGCCGCATCTCAGCACCCATAACAGTGTTTGGCATGTGGAAAACACCCAAATATCTGATAAATGAATGAATGAGTGAGTAAATTAATGCATCATAATGAGACTCTCCTTGGCCTAAGGATTTAAAGATCTTTTTCTGCCACCCTGCTCCATTTCCTTTCCAGGTCTTTGCACAGGCTGTTCACTCCCCTAGAAACAAACGCATCTTCTCTCTCCCACCTAACCCTTCGCCTGGTTACTCTTACTTAACCTAGACTTTCAGGTCTCAGCCTAAATATCGCTTCCTCTGGGAAGCCTTCCTTGACTCCCCAGGCTATTTGGGTTAGGAGGCTCCTCTGGGCCCTCGCAGCTGCTTATTTATGGGTGACCAGGCTGTGAGCTCTGTGGGGACAGATATCACTGTCATTCCGCAGTGCTTTCAGACTCTGTAATAAATCCTGAGAGTGACTGCTGAATTAGTCTTCCTCTTAGCTTAGCAACAAGCTTCTCCTGAAAATTCTTACTGCCAGCCAAGATCTCCTTGGACCAGGAGGGAAGGCACTTGTGGCCATTAGGGGTCAGGGAAACTCTGGGGAAATAAGTAGGGGGATCAGAAACCCTCAGGAACCAAGAAATGACCTGAGGAGCCTAAACTGGGACTGGAAGTGACTAAGCTGAGCAGTTTCTGGACGCACCGTCCAAGCTAAGAAGCTCCTGACACCTTCTACCTGAGTAAGAAACAGCAAGTCGCTGAGCCTGTTTCCTCTTCTGTTTAAATGGAAGAGTCTCTGGAGAGAAAGTCCCTCCCCAGTGCCAGAACTTAGTAGCTCTCTCAGAAATGACGGCCATTCATTGCGATGTTGATATGGGAATTATTTCTCGCCTCCTGGGTCCAGCCCCGCCTTTCCCGGGAAGCCTCGGCTGGAGGTCCTGGAGGAGAGGACGAGGGTGGAAAGAAGGCCACACATCCCTGCGAGGCCGCTCCTCCCGCCCGGCCCCCTCGCCGCAAACCCGGGGTTCCAGGGAAAGGGAGGAGGGCGAAATCCGAGCAGCGGCAGCTGCTGCTGCTGCTGCTGCTGCTCCGGGCTTGCGGC